TGGAGTTTGTGGCTCAGTGGTAAAGCACTTGCTTAGCGTGCACAAGGCCCTGGGTTCAATCCCCAGCGCTGTAAGAAAAGGGGAAGAGGGCTGCATCTCAATCAACAAACTTCGGATCAAGTGTGCTGTCTTCCTACCTTGCACCCCTGTTCCCCTGGTGGCTGGGTCTGTTTCGGTGTTAGTGGGGACCCCCAGGATCACAGTCAGAAGACCAGAGGGATAGGAGGTGAGGGGTGCTCAGCCTCTTTTCCAGCCCTCAGGCCACATCTAATTCTGGCTCCATCCCTGTCCCAGAGATGGCTCAATAGCACCAGTAGGTCCAGGGTACATCTGATTACCTGGCTAATTCCAAGGACAAGAAGGGTGACACTCCTGTGCAGACCCTAGGGAGGCGCTCAGGAAACGCCCCAGGTCCTGGCAGCAGGGACACGGGTGGTGACAGTACCTAAATAGCCCCGGCCTTGGCAGGCAGGCAGCAAAACAAGGGTGCGATTGGGCCCTCGTCCACCTGCCAGCCGTTTCCTTATTTCTCCTGCACTGCCCCAAACCACGACGGCTGGAAACAGCCTTGCAAGAAGCCGGCAGGTGTGGCCTTGGGAGGGCCCCATGTAAACAGGCACAGACAGAGAGGGGCATTGAAAAGCGAAGACTTCTGAAGGGGAAGCGGGCTGAAAAGGAAGGCCCCGGATATTTCTGAGCCTGACAACTTGGTTTCCCATAACAAGGATGGCCCTAAATCCCCTGAGAGAAAACTTCAGAACTGAGACCCATGGGGATTTTATTTTCCCACTACAAAAAAGGATGGCTCTCTTCCCATGAAAATAACACTGTGTGTGTGCGTATGTGTGTGTGTGTGCACGCATGTGCACGCCTGTATGTGGGGAAGGGCAATGCTGAATAGTTTCCAAAAGGCCTCTCTCCGCTGTGTCCTGTGTGATTCTCCCAGCATGGCTACGATATCAACACATCCATGTACAGCGGAAGCCCTGGGCCGGCTGAGCATGAATGCCAATTGCAGTACATTCCTCAGCTATGTGACCTTAGACTGGCTATTTAACCTCCCTATGACTCAGTTTCTTTATCTGCAAATGGAAATAACAGCACTTGCTTTGCTTTTCAAACCGCTGAGTAATTGTACTGGGCAGAGGGACGCTTAGCATAGTGTCTGTCTAGGATATGGCTTCACTAACTGGTAGCACTAGGCGGGGCAGCGTAATGAGAGAGAATTGAGATAAATGAAGTTCAGAGAGACCAAGTGACCTGTGTAGGTCCCAGTTCTGGCTGACTGGGAGCCAGGATTGGAACCCAGGTCTCCAACTCCTGTTCCAGGCGCCCAGGCAGCCACTCTGTCACCCTAATTCCCACTTCATTACCTATCTACCGGTAACACTTTAGATAGCAAGCTGCCCTCTGCATCTTTTATTCTGAATTGTACTTCCACCCACCCACACAACCCCAAAAAAAGAAGAAGAGAAAGACACTGTGGGGTATTCTCAGAGACCACCGAGGCCTCCTGTTTTGTATAGCACAGGGTTCATGACCTGGTGCTGTGGACTGAATTAGGTCCCCCCCAAATTTATATGTTGAAGCCCCAGCCTAATGTGATGGTATTAAGAGGTAATTAGGTTCAGATAAAGTCACAAAGGTAGAATCTCCATGAAGGGATAAGTGCCCGTATGAAAAGACTCACCAGAAAGCTTCTCTGTCTCTCCCTCTCCCTCTCTGTCTCTGTCTCTGTCTCTCCCTCTCTCTGTCACACACACACACACACCACACACCTGTTCCCACCCAAAGAAGAGGTCACACGCACTCACAACAAGATAGCAGCAGTTTGCAAGCCAGGAAAAATCCTTTGAGAACCCAGCTGTCTTGGCACCCTGATCACAGACTCCAGCCCCCAGAATTGTCAGAAAATAAATGTCACCCAGCGTATGACATTTTACCATTCCAGCTCTGAAAGACTAAAGCACTTGGGGTCTACGGACAGCTACCCCACTGCTCACCACCCACACAAACTGGAAACCCTCTCTATTGTCAGAAATACGTGTGCAGTTTCCTTGAGAAAATGTCCTCAGCTTTCATCACATTCTCAAAGGAATCCTCGGAGAGACGAAAGGTTAGAATCACCGTGAACCTGTCGCTCTTCGCATTTGTACTTGCCAGCATAGCTCATGTTTTCCCAGAGAGGCACGTCTGACTGCTGTGAGGGGGACGCTCCACATCACAGGAGACATAAAGGCTATGGTAGCAACAGGCCAGCGACAGGCTGGAAAAGACAGGCTTGGTCAAGGCAAATATTTCTCCGCTTGGGCACTTTGTTTCAAGTCTGCTTGCTTGCTACCAAAAAATATATCTTCAGATGGTAGGATTTTTTCTCACTTAAACGCATCATGGACTGGTCATCAGAAAGAATAGATTCTTCTTAACCAGTTTAGTTTATAGACAAAGTAGATGTCCCGATCTTCATTTTTACAGATGAGGAAACCGAGGCTTCCAGAGGCAGGCAGGTAACCGCTGGGAGCGGTGCTGCACTCCCGTAATCCTGGCACTCTGGGAGGCTTAGACAGGAGGATTGCAAGTTTGAGCCCAACCTGGGCAACTTAGCAAGATCCTTTCTTAAAATAAAAAATAAAAAGGGTTGGGGATGTAGCTCAGTGTGAAGGCCCTGGATTTAATCCCTAGTAGAAAAGAAAAAGAGGTGCAGCTCCCACCCAGCCCAGCCCCCAACAGCAGGACTAAGCCGTTTTCCAGGGCATCCTTCTGCCCCCATAAGGTCCTCCGGCCACTTGTGCCCAGCTTTGCGTATCATCGGAGGCTGTGGCCTTTGCCATCTACCCAGAGGACCTGACAGCTTCCCCTCAGCCTCGCCCTGTTGAGCTCATGAGCAGCTGGTGCTGGCCTGCGGCCTCACTCCCCAGTCTGCCTCACGCTGTTAGGTTTGGCAGCAGTGCATCCTCTCCCTTAATTTCTCTTTCCCAAGTGAAAATTGCTGTCAGACGGACTTTGCCAGGGCCAAACTAGCCTCGCTTAGCAAATGTCTGCATTCACAGCTCACTTCCCACCATTGGTGTTTGGTGCTATCCTCTATGTCCATGCATTCTCACAGGGAAATAGCCAATGGCCTGTCTTTCCTTCGTACGGGCACTGACCTCACCTCATCGCTCAGGTTCCGGCTCACTCATCATCATAACGGCTTCTTGCAAGCAAGACCTTCTCCTCTAGAATAAGCAGGAAAGGAGATGTTCGCAGGGCTGGGCCTCCTCCTCCTCAACTAATTCCATGTCTTTCCCATAGTTTCTCTATCCTTTGAACACCTTCTCTTTTCCTTTCTTTTCTTTTTTTCTTTTGGTGGTACTAGGGATTAAATCCAAGGTCTTCACACTGAGCTACACCTGCACACCTTTTTTCTTTTATTTTATTTTTGGTTTTTTTGAGAGAGTCTCACTATATAGTTTAGGCTAGTCTTGAACTCGCTCTGTAGCCCAGGTTGCCCTCAAACTCATGGTAATCTTCCTGTCTCAGCCTCCTGACTGCTGGGATTATAGTACAGCACCACCATACCCAACCATTTTTTTTTTTTAAATTTTACACAGGATCTTACTAAGTCACTGAATTGCCCAGGCTGGGCAATTTAAGATTCTCCTGTCTCAGCTTCCCAAGCGGCTAGGATTATGAGGATGTATTACCATGCCAAAGACCTTCCTATTTCTAATCTACTTCTTTGTCATTTTCCTTTTCATAGGGACAACAGATGTTAATCATCTCCCTTATTCCAGCACTGTGTAGAATACTTATTTTATGAAAAGAATGTATGATATGATTAAGAAATCCTTGCTTTATTCTTTTTTTTTTTTGTACCGGGAATCGAACTCACAACCTCACATTTGACAGGCAGGCGCTGTGCCGCTGAGCTAAATCCCCAGCTTAGAATACTTTAGATAAATCATCTGAATCAGTTTTGCCCTGACAGGAAGAAGCTGATAGACACATTCACAGCAAGGTGTTGTTTGTTAATGTATTTATTTTTCTTTGCAGTGCTGGGGATCAAACCTGGGCTTCATTTCTATAACAGACAAGTACTCTACCACTGAGCTGTTCCCCCAGCCCCATGGCAAGGTTTATAAGACAGAAGACGGTTTAATGGCTTAAGCCCAGATCACTCTAATGGAAACCAAAGACCTACTTCTTTGTCAGTGTAAAAAGTGTTAGATAGCCAACTGAGGAAGGAAAGGAGCAGTTTGTCTTAGTTTCAGTTGACTGAAGGTGCCTCCTATAAGACCTTGACTTATATTTTCAGGTATTGGTTTGTCTCAGTTCCGCAGCACTGTGGCAAGCATCATTACTTGGTCTGGCTCAGCGGAGTGGTATTCATTAAGCGCCCGTTATGTGCAGGTATTGTGCTAGTCTGGTAATACAAAGATCTCTACACCACTGAGCCACCTGAACTCCTAAACTGTGGAAAGTTAATGTCCTTGACATTTTTGAGTTTCATACCTGAGATTTTCAAGGGTTCTTTAACTCACTAGAGGTTCAGAACAATGGCTTTGCAAGTTTAAACCATAAGATAAACCCACAGATTTAAGACACTTGAAAAAAAGAATGGACATCTAAATGGGTCTAATTTCTAAACACACACAGCCAGGTGTGGCTACTCCGGGCAACTTATCAAGACCCTGTTTCAAAATAAGATAAAAGAGCTGAGGATGTAGCTCAGTGGCAGAGTCGCTTGCCTAGCATGGCTGAGATCCTGGATTCAAACTCTCAGTATCAAATAAATAAATAAATAAATAAATTTAAAACATAAATAAACACAGGCAAAAAGAAAACCCCCTCTTCCTGTTACCACCTACCAGGGAGGCATGCCGAGCTGCTGTGGAAGGGAAGGACTTTCTGCTATCTTCACTTCCCCTCTGGTCCCCCCACCCCGTACCCAAAGTGTTTGTCTAAACTACACTAAGACATTAGACCAAAAAAAAAAAAGGCCTAAGAAGTAGCCAGTCTCTCCTTCAGGCTTGTCCCTTTGGTGTTCATTTACTCTTACTTTTTACAAGCCAATTATTCACTTGTTTCCTGGGCTGGATTTGTCTTGAGAGCAGGAAGTCATCAAGAGAAACCATTTTAAATATATACCCTCATATGCATACATATATTTACATATGTAATTTAAGGTGACATCGGGCTTAGCCACCCGGTTCATTCATTCATGCATTTAGTCACCATTCATTATCCTACCATGCTCCGGAGTGAAGGGCGTGTGCATCCCTCATCTGTAAAGCCCTCACAGTCTACTGGGAGAGGCAGACCTATAAGCACATGAGGACAACACAGTGAGATGCAAAGAAGTGAATAACGGGGAATTCAAAAGAAAGATGGCAGTTTCTCCCAGACAGATACATAAGGCAGAAAAAGCAAGAAAGGTGAGCTGAAGAACAGGTTAAGGCTTGAGATAACAGGGATGTTTCAAACAGGTGTTGCCTCCAGGGCAGCCTTTCATTCCTCACGCACCACTCCACAAGTAGTACTCCCTGGGCTGTGTGCTCCGCACCACCTGCCCAGCCTCCCACCCGGCTGGGGTAAGGCACAGTCAATTACCCGTGGGGTGTGGCCCCTACTCCTTCCCCAGAAGGAGCAAAAGCCTTTGCATTGCAAACATTCTGGCTGGGAGGGAGGACACTCAGAGAGCAGGCACTTTGTGAAAGCGTTAGTCTACTCTGTAAGCGAGGGAAAGCCAGCCCTTGGCTTGAGGTATGTTAGCAAGGCCTCTCCAACCCCTAAATCTCCTGCCAGGAACCTGTCCGCTGCCGTGGGTGGACTATGAGTGTTAATAAGAATCTTGCTTTGAAATGTTCGTGTTCCCTGAAGTGCTAGAGGACTAATCTGGCCATTAAGTTGTTGGTTATCCACAACCAATATGTGTAAATAAAAACCCAGTTCTCCTCTGCCTGTGTTTGCTAGCTGTGTCTCTCCCCTGGAGCCCCTTTGCCTGCGCCTGTGAAAACCCAGTGTCTGGCATCGATGCCCAGTGGCACAGAGGCGGGAGCGTGGAAGCTCCCAGGTCAGGAAATCTCACTTCCTACAGCTCACACTTCCAGGCAATCAGGTGGAGTCCATCCTTGTCCTCCAGGACTTGGTCTGAGCACCTTGTCAAGGCTTCCTCAGGAGTGACCTCACACAGGTGTGGACGAACGAAGGGCCCAGAACTGGCAAGCAGGAGAAAAAAGGGTACACTCCGGAAAATCCACTCCAGCTGTTCACCACTGCTGCTTTGCGATGCAGTATGGGTTGGCAAAGCACTCTGCAGTACCAGATATTGTTCCTGCTCCTGTCTCGGCCTTTAAATGGCCAGCGCTATAGCAGCCACTCGCTGCATGCTATGAGGAGGGCTGGGCACGCTTTCTCCCAGTCAGTCTTACGACGACCAGATGAAGTGGACAGTACTTGCATTCTCATTTCACAGGAAGGAAATTGAGGCTTAGAAACTGTGAAGCAGTTAAGTGACTGGCCCCAGGTCACAAATCCAGCCATAGAGAGCCAAGTTCCCTGCTGGAGGATGGATGTCCTCACACCCTAGGTGGAGGCTGATGGCCCTTCTTTCCAAGAATTTCTGTGGATTCAATCCAGATCACCCTGCCACAGAGGAAGGCCAACAGGGACCAGCCCTGCCGGTGGGAAGAGCCATACCCCACCCCACCCCCGGAGCTATTGGCTCACACAGAGCCGGGCTCCTGCCTCAGGACTTTTGAAGGACATCAGGACATGAGGTGGCTCCTCACGCAATGTCCTGTCGTGTTACTCTAAGAGGCTCCTGCTAGCTCCTACCCTGCAGGCTAATCTAGTCTTCGCAGGGAGACAGCGCTGAGCAGGCCTGGAAGTGACTGCACTGACTCCCTTATTCACTAAACATGTGGTTAAGTGTCATTTCTCAATGAGCTCTGCATCGGGCTCTGTGCTAGTCCTCATTAAAATAAAGCCAGAAGCACAGCTCTTGCCCTTTAAAAAGGGAATAATCTCATTTGTAGCAGGAACAAGGAAGTCAACATGCTATAAATGAGATGCAGCTAGGAGTTAGACTGTCTGGATTTTAATTCTGGGATTGGCACCTGTGATGGCTGATGGATTGTGTCAACTTGAGTAAGAGAAATTTAATTAAATCGGCTCAGTAATTCCACACCCTAGACTGTGACAGACCCATCCCAGGGCAGCTTGTCACCCGGATGGTATGAAGAGGACATGAAGAAGGATGGATCAGCTCCTATTTCTTCAGAGGAGCTCATCTTTGTCTTCACCTTGGATGTCATCTCCTGGCTTCCACTGCAGACTGTTCGGCTTCCGGCGTAGACCCTTCAACCATCAGCCTCCTGACACCAACCCCCACAGGACGCTGCAGTGAGCTCCAGACCTTCAACCAAGTCACTCAGTCTCCAGTGTGCAGACACCCTCTGCACGCTTCCTCATCCAACTCTGCGGTGGCCACTGTGAGCCAAACTTGTATCTTTATATACATTTGTGTATCTTGTGTTATGCGTTTCTCTAGCAAATACTGACTGATACAGCACCTGAGCGGTATGGCGTTGTTGAAACACTGTCAGCTTCGGCTTCTTCGGCTATAAAATGGGAATAACAGGACCACCCCTGTTAGGGTTTCATGAAAGAATTAAGCAACATTTAAAGTGTAAAATGTTTGACCCTGGAAGTGTGCTTGGCCAGCTCCTAGAAACACTAATTTTCACAGTCTTGGGCAGGACTTACACTGGTCTTCCTCAGCCTCCCAGTATGTAGATGAGGGCTCCCACATTTTCCAAAAACCTCTGCATCTGTCAATCCACAGAAGTTTCACGACTCTGAAAGGTATTGTGAAGACATAGAAAAAACAAAAAGCCTTCAGAGGTCTCCAGGGAAGCTGGGAATACTAAGAGCAGCACGCAAGCGCGGGGTTCTGCAGGGCCTACCTGCTCTCTTCAAAATGGGTGCAGGATGGCTGCACAGGTGACCTGCAGGCTCGGAATAGTGACAGGAGGCTTCCCACAGCGCTGGGGCCTGAGTTATGCCTCAAACCGTGGGCTCTGCCAATCAAATCCCCGCATGGAATCAGGTAGTCATGGGCAAGTGAAGAGATTAGAGTAGACCCTGCTGTCTCAGATGTCTTTCCTCAGAGGTCCCCTCCCTAACACTGGGGTCACCTGTCCCCACGTGCCCCCAGCTGCCCTTCTCTGCCCATCTGCTTCCCTTCAGATCTGGGCCTCCTAAGAACATAGGCTACATGACCAATCTGTATCCACAGAGACTGCCACTCACATCTTACTAGTGTTCAGCACGGCAATTAAACCAGAAAAACAAATAAACACTCCCAGCCTGACCTCGGGGAGAACAGATGAGGCAGCTAGTTATGAGAAGATGGGGTGTAACCGTATAAACAAAAACCTGTAGAGCTGGAAAGAACACCCCTTTGAAGAGAACGGCTCACCTCGCTCAGTTTCCCTCTGGTGCAGCGGTTCCTAAGACACAGGCGGTTATTATCAGCACTTGCACCCGTAAGCAATGGAAGTGAAAACCGTACATCCCAGCTACACCATCTCTGTCCGGTTACTCATAGCTGCTTATCTGTCTCTATCAAATAACGCATATTAAACTGATGCCTAAATAAACCAGTAAAAAAAGGTTAATTTCCTGGTGGGAAATGCCTGTGTGATTAGTCAGCAGCTTTAGTTCCTGCTGTGTTGCTGACCAGCAACCAGCACTGTGACCTTTAGCAGACCCACCTCCTCCATCCCCATTAACACAGCCTGAAGCCGGGCCACCACTTCTCTCTCCTGCAGTAGGTTCTCACTGATCCATCCTTAGTTTCTCTCCACCACCCGCTTCCCAAGATGCTTCACTCTGGAGACCCTGAGTATAAAGATCCTTCTAAAATCCTAACTCTGACAAAAAATAAAATAAAATAAAATAAAATCCTAAATCTGGTCAGCTCTTCCCTGCTTCAAATCTTGGAGCTGAGGATTTAGTTCGGCGGTTGAGCATGTGCTTAGCATGTGCAAGGATCTGGGTTTCATCCCCAGACCAAAAAAATAAAATATCTGTACCCCTCTTCATATACTCTAAGATAAAACTGAAACACCCATGTGTAACTTACAAGGTCATTCATGATCTGACCTGCTTACCATTCCAGACTCAAATCTCACCACTCTCCACTGAAGTTCAATGTTCCAGCCATGTTCACAGGCCCATGGCTCCCCGAACAATACTAATAACTGCAACCACAACATTTAGTGAGTGTTTTCTCTGCATGAGGTATTGTTCTAAAGCAGCAGTCCCCATTCTTTTTAACATCAGGGACCAGTTTTTTGAAGGACAATTTTTACAAAGGGGTGAGGAAGCAGCTGGCTTCAGAATGATTCAAAGGAGAATGCAACCTAGATCCTTCACATGCATAGCTCACTGTACAGTTCAGGCTTCTGTGAGAATCTAATGCTGCTACTGAGGGACAGAAGGCAGAGCTCAGGTGGTAATCTGAGCAATGGGAGCAGCTATAAATGCAGATGAAGCTATGCTGGCTGACCCTCTACTGTCCCCCTGCTATTTGGCCCAGTTCTGAACAGGCCACTTAGTACCTCTAGAGAGGTAGCTCAGTAGTATAAAGTGCATGCCTAGCCTTCAGGAATCAACAAAATTTAGTCTCTACAGAGTCTACTAGATAGTGATTATTGTGTTAATCAGCTTTCCATCCCTGTAACAAATGCCTGAGCCAAACAGCTTATCGAGAGAAAAGGTTCATTTCAGCGCATGGTTTGGGAGGTTGAAGTTCATGATCTGGAGGACCTATTGCTCTTAGGCCTCTGGTGGAAAAGTAATACATCTTGGCAGTATACCTAGCAGAGAATGAGTTCGGGAAGAGAGAGAAAGAGGAAAGGGCGGGGTCCCCTATCTCCCTCAAGGACACACCCCTAATGATCTGAAGATCTCCCACTGGGCCCTGCCTCCTTTTGGTGGTGGTAAGGATACTGGGAATTGAACCCAGGACCTCATGCTGGGCAGGCAGGCACTGCACCGCTGAGCTATATCCTCGGCCCCAACCCTGCCTCTTAAAGATTCCACAGCCTTCCAATAGCATTATGGGCTGTAGGCCTAACCTTTAACATATCAGTCTTTGGAGGACATTTATAATCCAAACTATAGCATCTATGATTACCTCCATTTCACATATGAGAAAATAGACACAGAAAGGTTAAATCACTATCCAAAGTCACCCAGCAAGTTAAATGGTAGAATGTAACTACAACATGCTTATCAACCCCATCTGTCTCTCTCTCTTCCTATCTCTCTCTATCCTTATCTCTCTCTGTCTGTGTCTACCTCCATCTCTCTCTCTAGCTCCAGCTCTCTGAGTCCTCGTACGGGGGTTCCCTCTGACTGGGAGATCCTTTCCTCTCTTCCCCTTTCTCTCCTCAACCCTTTCTTTACTTGCTAACTCCTACTCTTCATCTGAGAGTCCCCATGTGCATATCTCAGCTCCTGAGAAGTTTTCCCTCTTTTTAGTTAGTCTCCAAAGATGGCTGCCAAGTGAACGATGCCTCCCAGCAGTCATGCTTATGGAGTCTTTTACATATTTAATCTCAGTTGAGATGACCTTGTGACTCACAATGGGATAAGGTAGCCATGATGCGGAGTAACTTCTGGAGCTGGGTCAGAGAAAGTCTTGCAGCTTATACTCCAGTCTCTTGGAGCAGACACTGTGTAATTACTTCGTGCTGTGAGGAAGCTAAGCTAGGCAGGTGGACAAGCTACAGGGAGTTGGAGAGATGCCCGATCAGATGCTGTCTAGCCACCCAAGGCCAAGCACTAGATAAGTGACGAGGAAGCTGTGACTTTCACAATAGAAAACACACCCCTCAATGGGCTGGGAGTGTGGCTCAGTGATAGAGCACTTGCTTACTGTGTGTAAGGCCCTGAATTCAATCTCTAGCACTACAAAAAGAAAAAGAAGCCAGGTGTAGTGGCACATACCTATAATCCCAGCACTCAGGAGGCTGAGGCAGGAGGATCACGGTGAGTTCAAAACCAGCCTGAACTACATGGAGAGATTCTGTCTCAAAAATAAACAAACAAACATGTTAAGGAAGGAATATACCTGTAATATTTTGGGTACAATTGAGAGGCAGAAACCACAATGTTATTTAAACAAGAGAAGTTTAATACAAAGAATTACAGATAAGATAGCATGACCATAAGCTATAGCAAGAACTCTAGGTTACTTCAGGGCTAAGGAAGAGTAGCCTGCCAAGTAAACTTGCGGGTGGGGCCCCCTCCAAGGACTGGGGGTCAAATCCAATGGTAGAAAAATCCAAAAGTGTGGTTCAGCCCACTGGATGGGAAGTGGGCAGTCCAGCCCAGAACTGGTCCAGCATCTCTGGTCAACCAGGAAACAACCGTCCAGGGTGCAGGTGAGCTGAGGCTAGCAGGCAGGTTTGCAGAGCCTGGAGCCCGCAGCACCACATGAGAACAGTCACAGGAAGGCGGTCACTGGGCCTGTGTGGCACTGCATGGCCCCTTGGGGTTGCCCACTTGGGGACCCAGTGGGGTTGGATGCCATTAGATAGCCTCAAAAACCTGTGCTGCCAGTGAGCTAGCAAGAGCAGGAAAAAGAGAAACAAGAATGTACCTGAACTAGGAAGGGAAGGCTGTCCTTCTGCAACTGCCCACTGTTGCCTTCTACCAACACTGTGTAGCATCATTCACACCAGAGAAGAAATGCGTAGAGCCCATCAATCAGCACCAAGCAGGTACTGAAGGGTAACTTTGGACCTGAGAAGCCATAAACTGATAGTTTATGAATGAAAGGAAAACAAATTTAAAATACACCCCAGGGAATGAAGAAATAAGCATGCACTCTTTTCCTGCCTACTCTGAAAAATAAAATGAAGTTTACTCTTGATAATTATACCAGGCCTATCTTTGACCATGGTTCAAAGAAGTGGGCGCAGGTTTAAATGCCCAGGTCTACTCTCTGCCCGACAGCAACCTTACAGTCTGAAGACAGACCCCAGGATGTCCCAATTCTCCTCAGTGATTGCACAGTGTTTGTTGCCACTGTTTAAGGGCCCTCACAAAATAGGATTTTGACTTAAACCACCTCCTACTTCTCCTTGAGCATCTCTCATTTAATCAAAATGTCTGAATATCTACACAGAGAGATATAAATGATTTTAGACCTTGTGGTAGGTTGACAACAGCTGGTCAACTTATAACCCCCAGCTGAACTGAGTAAGCATGGTGCTGGGTGTGTGAGGCCCACCTGAGGACTGTTGCCAGCAGCATAACAGGCAGAACCAGAGAAGGAGAAAAGAGGCTGTTGGGAGCTGGTAGAAGCTGTTGGGAGCTGTTGGTTCTTTTGGAGGAGCTTGTTATGCTGGCTTTCCTGATGAACTTGGCTGCTTTTATCCTCTGAGGAGCTCGGGACCTTGTTAGCACTGAAAATAGCTTCAGTTCACTTTGGGGCAGCTCTGGTCCTCACTCTGAGCATTGCTTCCTGGCTCTGGAGGGGAAGATGGTGTACTACCAGTCTCCTGGAGAAGCTCGCTGTGTTGGCTTTCCTGATGGGAACTCAGCTGTCCTGATCATCAGAGGAGTTCAGGACCTCACTGTTGCTGAGAATGGCTGTGGTACCTTTCGCGGGAGCTCTGGTTCTTGCTTTGAGTGTCGCTTCCTGGTTCCAGTTCAGACCCTTCAGCCTGCTAGCACAGATCCTTCATCCTGCTGGCACAGACTTTCTAGATTCCACCACTGACCTTTGGTCCTTCCCAGCAAAGATCTGTGAAACAGCCCTGCATGAGACATTGTTGGGGGCTCTAGGCCTCCAGTTGGATTTGTGAGAGGCACTGTTATAAGCTCTAAGTCTTCAGCTGAACTTATACAAGACATTTCTGTGGGACCCAGGCCCCCAGGGAGATTCCTTGGTCTTAGCATATGGACAGATTTCCTGTACTCTCTTCTATATGATTCTTTGGGTGACTATTATAAATAATCTTATAAAATATGTGTCCTGTATTATATGCTTCCCCTTGCAATATTCCCAAACTACAACCCTAATGTTATCAGTGTCTGCTGTTCCAGTTTTGGAGGAAAACTGGGTTCTAAGACAGGGTCTTGCTAGGTAGCACAGGCCCTAAACTCAAAATCCCCCTGCTTCCACCTCCCAAGGACTGGGATTACAGTCATGTGGCACAACTTACATCTAGAATCCTATCTGCAACTTCATTTGAAGTTGTTTGTTGGTTTTTCTTTTTTTTTTTTTTGGTGTCAGAAATCGAACTCAGGACCTTGCACTTGCCAGGCAGGCACTTGTGCCACTGAGCTGTATCTTGTGTTTTCTCTGTTCTAGTGCAAGCTTAGTGAATGGTGTCAAGGCCTTCTCATTTGTATCATAAATGATTTGTCATATCTAAGCCTTGAGGACAACTTTTCTTCAGAAAGGAGGAATTGATTTCCCAGAGCTTCCATAACAAATGACATAAACTTAGAAGTCTTAAAAAAAAAACCCAGAAATTTATTTTCTCAGAGGTTAGAAGTCAGAAATCAAG